CGAGTGAGTGAGTGAGTGAATGACGTAAGACTTGGGTTATTAATCATTTACTGTCATCTGAAGGATATTAATTACATTCTTTCCGGGTTGAATTGAGAGAGAGAGAGAGAGAGAGAGAGAGAGAGAGAGAGAGAGAGAGAGAGAGAGAGAGAGAGAGAGAGAGAGAGAGTTTGTGTCCGTGTGTTTACAAGAATCCGCCCCACATGGAGGTCATATGTAACCAAACCCACACTATGTCTGCCCTGATAGAAGCGAATCACTCAATACAACACTCAACACCTCGCCCACAACCAGGCAGAGGGTCAATGCATCCGTGAGGTGTGCCAGCTTTCAGTGCCACAAGGGTATAATGTTACAAGTGCCGCCCAGTGCCTTCAATTCAACGTCATTAATTCCGGCCGCATGTGGTTCAGGGCCGGTCAGTGAACTATGTGGCAGCAGGCCGGGAGACGCGGAGAAAGGGCTGCAACGCTCCAGGGCCCTGACGAGGTCCTCTCTACTATCTGGTGACTGGATGGTGGACCTTTCTACTACCTGAGGGCTGGGACTACAGGATACGTCAGGCAGGTGAAACATCGGACAAAGACCTTCAGTTTAGCCAAATACTTTTTCCACACACACACTACAAGGACCTTTTAACACTCTCTGGAGGCTGAGGATGACCACTGCTCAACTGGGATGAAAGGTCAATCGTGGACCTATTCACTAGCAATAAGAACCCTGATCTTCCTTTGGCTCCGGCCTTGAGGGATCCACACTGTTGCCCTGGACCTTCCCTCAGTAAGTTTTAAACCACAATAGACAAAGTGTACTGTAGAAGGTCAGAGTAAGGTCAGCCGATGACTTTTTTTTTCCATTTTAACCGTGATAGTCAATTAAACACCTTTCAGTTTCTGTCATTTAGTTGGAGACAAAGACACCCCCAGTACCTTAACGAACGAAAGTCTTTACACTCGCTGCATGACAAGTAGAAGACACCTCTCTGTTACAGCTTCAGAAAGAGAGAGCGACAGAGAGAGAGAGATGAAGAGCAGAGAAAGGCAGATCATACGAACATGACATTTCCATAAGTGGGGAAAGTAGTTGTATTCGATACTGTATCCCCTACAATGATGCTGAACCCCTGCAACGGATGATACCCCCCACCCCCCTATTTAAATCACTCACCACCGAAAAAAACACTGAAACACCCCAAGAATTATATCTAACCACGGCAACTAACGACAGCCTCCACCCATCCCCCACTCCATCACCACTGCAAGAGACATTAACCCAGCGCAAGAGGGGGAGGTGACCTACCAAACAAAACAAGTGTGTGTGTGTGTGTGTGTGTGTTGTAAAGAGACGCCAGACCGAGCAGTGACGCAAGCCTCTCTCTCTCTCTCTCTCACACAGCTCCTACACTCAGACTTTGTCAGCTTACACCCATGATCTCAGGGGGGGAGGGGACAGATCTTGGTGACACCATGTAGAGGTGTGGTGTAGGGGTGTGGTAGGGGTGAAGTGAGGGGTAAGTGGAGTAACACAAGATGTGTAGGGGGGGTGTAGGGGATGGGGGGGCAGTGGGGTGTAGTGTAGGGTAAATGTAGGGGTGTGTGTAGGGTGTGAGTGTAGGGGTGTAAGTGTAGGGGCAGGTAAGTGTAGGGGTGTGGGTGTAGGGGTGCAGGTGTAGGGTGTGTGGGGTGTGGGGGTGTGGGGTGTGGGGTGTAGTGTAGAGGTAAGGGTGTAAGTGTAAGTGTAGGGGTGTGTGAAAGTGTAAGGTGTAAGTGTAGGGGTGTAAGTGTGGGGTGTGTAGGGTGTGTGAGAAGTAAGTGTAGGGGTGTAGTGTAGAGGGGGTGTAAGTGAATGGGTGTAAGTGTAAGTGGGGGGTGTAAGTGTGGGTGTAAGTGTAGGGGTAAGTGTGGGGGTGTAGTGGGTGTATGGGTGTGGGGTGTAGGTGTGAGGCCAGGGTGTAAGTGTGGGGTGTGGGTGTGGGGGTGTGAAGTGGGGTGTAAGTGGTGTGGGGGGGTGTAAGTGTAGGGGGTGTGGTGGGCGTAGGGTGTGGTGTAGGGTAAGTGTAGTGAAGATGTGTAAGTGTAGAAGTAAGTGTAGGGGTGTTGTTAGAGATAACCAATCCCTTGAGTACGATGACCTATTCCCATGAGTAAGATAACAGGAGTTAAGGCATCGTACTCATCGGGTTCAGTCACCTTACTCAAAAAGGTTCAGTCATCGTACTCAAGGGATGCGGAACGCCCACTAATAAACAATCTTTCCACACGTTCCTTTTGTTCAATCACGTTCACTCTCACCCCCACACAGGTCATCCTCCCCGTGTTCACCAGGTGTTCAAAATGTTCAATGTTTATAAAAATCTTCCTTGTATACCTGTTCAACGATAATATTTTTTTTTTAATAGAATCTACCAATCATGTGTGTGTGTGTGTGTGTGTGTGTGTGTGTGTGTGTGTGTGTGTGTGTGTGTGACAGAGGATGCGTGTTCTTCCTGCATCCCTGTCCGTTGACCTCCAGGATGACCTCGTCTCTACACATTGGGACCGTGACCTAATTGCTCTGCGCCCAGGTGCGGCAGCTGACGCAGTACGTGTGTTGTGTGTGTGTGTGTGTGTGTGTGTGTGTGTGTGTGTGTGTGTGTATACAGGAGTGCGTATGTATTTCCCCGTAAGCTGCTGTCTGTGTGTCTGTCTGAGTGTATATTTAATACGCAAGTGAAGTCACGGCTGCTGTACGCACTGATTCATTTTTCAGTCAGGACGTGTCCATGTGTTTGTTAACAGATGCGTTCATGATCATCACAGACTGTACACATGACAGCACTATGAAAGTGTACTTACGAATTCATTTCGTGTGCGTGTATGAAAACTAGTGCTGTGTGTGTGTGTGTGTGTGTGGTGTGTGTGTGTGTGTGTAAGAAGTTAATTCAGACAACTGTCATGTGCGTGTATTTAAGTGTATACAAGGAGGTACATTTATGATCGCCGTGCGTGTACGTATAGTCAGATTAGTCAGATGTGTACACAACGGTTGTGTGTGTGGTGGGGGGGGGGAGGCAGGCAAGAGAGGGCAGTAACCTGTACGTGAGCGCAGGTGATAAGAGCGACAGGAATGGCGTAACCAAGGGAGGGAGGAAAGGAAGGAGGGAGAGACGGGGTAATTCCACTGTCCCTCCCGCGGCCGCTGACCTCAAAACAAACCAGGCTGGTTCTCCTTACCCCCCCTCTCCTCAATACACGGACTACCACACACACACACACACACACACACACACGCACACACACACACACACACACACACGCACACACACACACACCTAATTACTCTCTTTATCGTATTCACAGTTTTATGCCCTCATACCATGACTACATTTTTACCGTTAGCCTGGGATATTGTGCCATCCGTACACACACACAAAGACACGGGTTATTCAGCACACACACACGCAGACACGGGTCATTCAGTACACACACACAGAGGTCACAACACGCACACACACTACTTTTAATCCAGCAATCATAAACACACTCGTAAAGTAAACGATCACCTAACCACGTCACCACGAACGTCACCCACGTCGCCCCGAACGTCACCCACGTCGCCACGAACGTCACTAAAAAATCCACAGGACAATCCACACACCTGTTCACACCCAGACAGATCACCCATCATCCATTTTCAATTCTGACATATGAGCGTCCGGGTGTGTGTTGATAGTTGTGTGACGGTACCGTGAAGGAAATAATAATAATAATAATAATAATAATAATAATAATAATAATAATAATAATAATAATAATAATAATATAAAAAAATCGTAAAGGACAACAATAAACAATAATAACAAGAACACCAACAAACCAATAATAATAATAATAATAAAATAATAATAATAACGATATGTGAGTTAAAATAATAATTCATGAGCTATAAACATAATGGAGACATAATTTAAGTCAAATTAATCACAATTATATTAATTATCCTCGAAATATGATTTGATGGGTTAAAATTATGTTATAGTAGTTAATTAGATATATGTGATTATAATAATTAGTAAGATAAGACGTTGAATTTTATAACTGATAATTAACCATTGTAATGACGTCATATAATACGTCATAATTCTGTAATTAGAAATAAAAACACCAATAATGGTCATATATAAATAAATCCAATAATTAATAAAAAAATTGTGTTATGATCATAAATCAAAATCTTCAAATAAAAAAATAAAAAATAACTTTTAAAAAATCTGTAATAAAAAAAAACAAATTATGTCAAATAAACACGTAAACAAATCACATAAAATAATATTAATAATCCCATAAAAAGTCATTAATTGAAGGTAGTGACGACAGAACTAGGTTAAGGCTTTTAATGATTAACAGCCAGTGGTGATAGTGAGGTGTGTCGTGGAGGGGGAGGGAGGGAGGAAAGGACTGTGAACCTTGTGGCAACCTGACTTAGAGAACAAAATACAAAGACAACAAAAACAACGACGATGAATGTCATTGACCGAAAATCAACCTACCTCTCCCCTCCCCTCTCCCCTCCCCTCTGCCCTCCCCTCCGCCCTCCCCTCCGCCCTCCCCTCCGCCCTCCCCTCCGCCCTCCCCTCCGCCCTCCCCTCCCTCACCCTACCTTGTACTTTCACTGTGTACCTATCTCACTCTCTACACACACACACACACGCACATAATTGCACGTCTACATGATGATGCTCTACACATATGTATACATTTGTGTTATAAGGGTGTATCTTTCTATACATACGGACATGTATTCATACGTGTACGTACTTGTTCCCATACTAATAGCCTAATGTAAACACAAACTTGCACAGGTTTATTATCAATACTCATACAGAGGCTAGTGCTAAAAGTCCATGGTATTAATAGGGGGTGTGTGTGTGTCCAATATACGTTTCTATCTGTACGTGGACCTATTACACACACACACACACACACACACACACACACACACAGATGGTGGTATACACTAACATGTGGTAAGAGCTCTGCAACAATGTGTTCTCCACGTTCACTCTCAATGTGGCTGCGGAGTTCTGTCATCTGTGTTGGATCTACACTCTCTCCACCACCATCAAGGCCACCACCACCACCATTACACTCTCCAACACCACCATCAACCCCCCCCCAACACTACCAGCATCACTACCACCACTCCCTCTACCACCAAGGTCACACAACCCCTATAACCACTAAACTCCCTTCACTACCACCACAACCACTACTACTACCACCACTATCCCTAAAAACCACTAACACTACCACCACTACCATCTTCACTACTCCTATACATCATCCATTACCACAACTACCACCACAACCACTACTACTACCACCATTTGCGTCTACACTCACCAGACATATTTGTTTATTAAATTGTTCTTCTTCAACAAGTTTATTCTATCTTGTTCACATTATTCCTTGTTCATTGTTCTTCACATTCCCTTTATCATTCAACATTGCATTCTCCCATCCTTTAGTTCCCTTTCTTTCACTGTTCCCATTTTTTTTATCATTCTACTTCAAATTCTTCTATCTACCTATATCATTCCTCCTATCATTCCATTATCTTTCTACTTCTTTACAGTGTTCAATTATTATACCTCTTATCATTCTCCTTGTCTATCATCATTCTATTATCATTCACTCTCTAGTTATCCCCTTTTGTCTCTTCCTTATATAGACGCGAAAATTACACACAAACAATTAAAAGTCAACAAATACACCATAAGATTGTTTGTTCTTACACGAAACAAATAAACATATATAAAAGTTGTTTACCCGTATACTTATATTAACAAAAACAAACAAAGAAATAAGATTTTTTCCTCTCAATAAACAACAACAGCAAGCAATAAATAACAATAACAAACAATAAATAACAATAACAAGCAATAAATAACAATAACAAACAATAAATAACAATAACAAGCAATAAATAACAATAACAAACAATAAATAACAATAACAAGCAATAAATAACAATAAATAACAATAACAAGCAATACATAACAATAACAAGCAATAAATAACAATAAAAAGCAATAAATAACAATAACAAACAATAAATAACAATAACAAACAATAAATAACAATAACAAACAATAAATAACAAAAACAAACAATAAATGAACATAAAACAAGAACAAGGAATTGAAAATAACAAGAAACAAATAAAACAAAAAATAAAACACAAGAACGAAGAGAGAGAGAGAGAGAGAGAGAGAGAGAGAGAGAGAGAGAGAGAGAGAGAGAGATATCATCAGCTAATTAAATCAATCAACCATCCACTCACTCAACTCTTGTTATTATTCACAGACTAAAGTAATTAAAGGGTTGAAGGATGACTCAGCATTATGTTGTTGGGAGGCTTACTTTCACAACCTACAACATTCACAACCTATGGCATTCACAACCTATGGCAATCACAACCTATGGCATTCACAACAGAACAGAGGACAGACAGACACAAACATCTTATGACCTGACCTCCACTACAACCCACCAACATGAGAGAACGGAAATAGCCCCATGGCCTTCATCTATTACAGGAATATGTGCACCAATAATAATAACAATAACAATAACAATAAGAAGAAGAAGAAGAAGAAGAAGAAGAAGAAGAAGAAGAAGAAGAAGAAGAAGAAAACTTTTGTTTCCTCTGACCACCAACAACACACACTACACACTCATCCACTTACTTACACTACACACACACACAATACACTTGCACTACACACACATACACTTACACTACACACTCATCCACTTACTTCCACTACACACACACTTACAATACACGTTCTTATACAACACATTTTCATTAGTCATTCCCAAAGGTAAGGATCTTCCTCTTTTTCTTCTTTCTCCTCTTATTCCCTTCTTCATCTAAACGTTCTTCTTCTTCTTCTTGCTCAGCCATCCTCCTCCTCCTCCTCCTCCTCAGCCCCCCGCCAAAAAAAAAAAACAGTTTAACCAAATCTTAATAATATCCACCAAGACGAAGGAGGGAGAGGGAGAGGGAGAGGGGGGTGAGAAGAGGGGGAGAGGGGGGTGAGAAGAGGGGGAAAGGGGGAAAGTTACGATAATCTCAAGTCATAATCTAAATAACAAGATGTATAACAACACATTTCATAATATTAAACCTTGTGAATTCTAATCTTCAATATGAGAAAGCAAAACACCTGTAATTTCTTATTCAGGTATATAGAAGGTGTTTATGTAAATTTAACATATTAAGATAAAAAAATAATTAGCAAATGCAAATTATCAAGTTATATGTAATTAATGTTCACCAGGAATTAAATTTTTCTAATGGTGTCAATATTCAGAGATATTTTAAAAAGAGTTAAATTTATGTTGTGTCCAGCCACTAAGTTCAATGAACGACTATCAGATAAGCAGTATATCCTCATTTACATCCCAGCTGTCAGATTCAACGAAATTTTTTTTATTTTTCACTTCAAGAAATATAAAAAAATTTTCCTTACTTTCATTTATTTATTTTTCTTTCCGTTCAATGTCATTAGGTCCCGTTGTGTTCGCCGTTAAAGTGCATCACACATCAAGCAAACCATTAACTCGATAGAAACTCATAGATACGTTATCATAATTATATACACAGGTTCACTCCCTATAATGTGTTGTCATAGTATATACACAAGTTCACACTACCTATAGTCGAAAGGTATTATTGTCTGCCTTGGGGTATTCTGGGGTTTAATTATAGGTACACGAGTATAATTATCGCGATGCTAGGATTATAGTGTCATATACTGCATTAGTGAGGGGAGGTGGCTTCAAGACAGCCAGTGATTATTTTACCTTTATATTTAACATAAAAAACCTAACCTAACCAAACCTAACCTAACCAAACCTAACCTAACCAAACCTAACCTAACCTAACCTAACCTAACCTAACCTAAACTAACCTAACCTAAACTATTATTACACAGACACACGCATGCGGTGGAGGGAGGAAGAGTGTCAGATGGACGGAGGGAGGAGTGGTGGGGGGGTGAGTGAGGGAGAAGAGGGGGTGGTAGAGGGGAAGGAAGGGTGGTGGAGAAAAGGAGGGAGGGGTGGTGGAGGGAAGTGAGGGAGGAGTGGTAGAGGGAGGAGTGGTAGAGGGAAGTGAGGGAGGAGTGGTAGAGGGAAGAGTGGTGGAGGGAAGTGAGGGAGGAGTGGTGGAGGGAAGTGAGGGAGGAGTGGTAGAGGGAAGAGTGGTGGAGGGAAGTGAGGGAGGAGTGGTAGAGGGGAGGGAGGCACATGGAGGAGGGTCGTTGTCTCCCATGAGCGAGTCTGAGAGAGAAACTCATCCACACACACACACACACACACACTAGGTTATTGGCCTAAACTTTCACTGTCTCCTGAACCCGACTGTAAAATACCCTCCTACTGAATGCTGACTGGTTTACCATTGTTTACAACTGTAGTTCTGAACACCTTTGTAGACTTTCCCTGTCTGCTGTAGAAAAAAGAAGTTTATATGGTGTATACTGATTTACACGTGTTTACATCTGGTCCTTACACAATGTACTGTAAACTTTCACCTTCTATTGGAATGTTGTTTACCTCTATATTACCCACCTGTCTATTACCTGTTTACACCTGTGACTCACGCCTCATAAAGTGTACTACAGACAAGAACTAAAATACCCATTTATAGACAAGTTTTAACCAACAGATAAAGTGAAAGAATCCAACAGGTAAAGATTTTAATCAACTCAGATATACCTCAGTACAGCACAGGTAATAAGATGCAAGTACAGGTAGGAAAGTACAGGTACAGTCAATCTTCCCGTGATGACTTGCAATACAGGTGCTGCCTCTACCTAGATATGAAGAGATAAGTATACAGTATGTAAACTACTTAACCACCACACACACACACACACACACACACACGGTTGGGTAACTGGAGTACATCAGCTGTATTTTATAAACACTGTCCACCGCGACCGAGAGAAAGTGAAAACGAAAGATAATACACTCAAGTAGAAGCTGATTAGACGGTATACTGAAGACGATGAGAGAAAAACACACGTAGGGGAGAGAGGAAGAGGAGGGGGAGAGAGAGAGAAAGAGGGGGGTAAGAGAAGGAGGGAGAGTCTAAATTTCACAATGTATGACGTGTACTGCATGACACTAACTGCCTTGTTCTGAACGTTCCGTGTGACTGGACATTTGAGTGTGAGGTTCTTTTTATGACAATCAATCGGTCAGTCAATCAATCAGTCATTTTAAGTAGATAGATGAATGGATGTCTTTATTGTGTACAGGTTGACGTAGTAGTGTCTCTCTCTCTCTCTTAAGCGCTCGTAGTACAACCTGAGGGAAATACCTGTCGCCCACTATCACCTGGTGTGGGTGGGTGCCAGTGGGAGCAGGTGGGTGCCGGTAGGTGCCGCGGAAGGGAGAAGTCATCAACCTGGGAGTTGGCACCGACGGAAGGGCTTAAGTAGGTCAGGTTTCAGGTGTGTGGCGGGAGGTCATTCACAGCGGCCATGTGTGTGTGTGTGTGTGTGTGTGTGTGTGTATGTGTGTGTGTGTGTGTGTGTGTGTGTGTGTGTGTGTGTGTGTGTGTGTGTTATTAGTTATCAATTTAAAACAGGTAACAGCGATGTATCAACAGGTAACTATAGGTATTAATTAGTAAGGTAAACTGATCCCAATGTTCTAACTAAATTCGTATATCAGATTACGTTAGTTTAGGTTAAATTCATGCGAGTTAAGTTAGGTTAGGTTAGGTTAGGTTAGGTTAGGTTAGGTTAGGTTCCGGGTCTCAGGCTGTCTTATAACTAATTGGTCCTTATATTAGAATGTCCGGTTTACACACACACACACACACACACACACACACACACACACACACACGAACTCACACATACACACCACTCACACACCACCCGCGTACGCACACATGCACGAGTATTCATACACACGTACAGGTAGACGTATGCGCCGCACTTCTCCAGCCATGTACACATAGCTGTTGTGTGTGTGTGTGTATGAGGTATGCACAGGCGGGGGGAGAATGT